GTGTAAAATGTCATCAAAAACCGGAGATCTATCGAGAACATTAATGTCATTGAGGGTACCTGGTAATCCGAAAAAAGCATGCCAAATCCAAAGATCATGGGATGCCACAGCCTCTAAGACAATTGTCGGCTTTGCTGAACCTCGTGTGTACTGTCCTCTCCAAGCCGTTGGGCAGTTTTCCACTCCCAATGCATACAATCGATACTGCCTATCATCCCCGGAAACCCGCGTGTTTCTCCACCATCGAGTAATTTTTGAAGATCTTCTGGTGTAGGTCTTCTTAAATACTCATCCCCAAACAAGTGTATTATCGCTTCCGTGAAATGATCCAAACACAAAAGTGCAGTACTTGCTGCTAGTCGGAGATATTCGTCATACGCATCCGCTGCTTGACCATATGCGAGCATCCGGATAGCTGAAGTACATTTTTGTAGTGGAGATAGGCCGAACCGTCCGTGACCGTTTCTTTGTTGCTGAAAGTATGGGACTTCATTACTTATGCGATCGACAATGCGAAGAAACAAAGCCTTGTTCATCCGAAAACGCCGCCTAAACATTTCGGGTGGGTATGTTGGATTTTCAGAAAAATAGTCCTGCCATAACTGCATGTGTCCTTTTTCCCGATCTCTTTCGATATAGGATCGCTTTCTCGGCTTGGTGGCTTGAGCATCAATAACAGAGTCGATAAAATCATCAATTTGGTCGTCCACCAGAGCTTCAAAAACTTCATATTCTTCATCATTTGAGGAGCTTGACATTTTTTTAGTTGTTCCTGAAAAAAAACAACTTCTAAATTATTACTTTTTTTAAAAAAAAAACTACTATTAAATCTTTGCATCAATTATAATTTTTTGTTTCTTTAAAAACTAGTATTAAATCTTTGCATCAATTAGAATTTTTTGTTTCTTTAAAAACTACTATCAATTAGAATTTTTTGTTTCTTTAAAAACTAGTATTGAATCTTTGCATAATTATAATTTTTTGTTTTATACAAGTGTGTATTAGACCAAAAGTGTTTGTGAATAACACATTACTTACCGTATGATGGCTTCGAGCGATTATGGCTTTGATTGCTTGAGATGGTTTTGAGTGATGATGTTAAAACGATGGTTTAGAGTGATGATGTGCAACGAGTGATGATGGCTTTTGTGCAAGCGATGGCTTTGAGTGGTTCTGTTTGTTGTATGCTTTTATTTTTTTTTTAAGATAAATGTAAAGACAGAAACCAAAACAAACATAAAACAGAAAGAAGAAGTTGAGATTTGATGAAATAGCATACATGATAGAGAGCATATTTATATATGCTCGTTTTACATATCCGTGAGTTACAAGTACAAAGCATTCAAGTACAACATGTGACCCTGATACAACTACAGAAGACATTGCAGTGTAGAAACAAACAAAATACTACACTGCATCCGTGAATCAAACAGAAGACATTAAGCAATAAAGATAAAGCAGCAACAGACCCGTGACCAAGCAACCCGTGACCTAGCTGATCCGTGACCTGCAATACAGAAACAAACAAGTCAATAATTCAGTCAAGTAAATAATTAAAACATAACAGATCCAAGCAAGCAAGTTAACCAATTTCAATCAGTAATTTCCGAAATCAGTTTGTTTTTCAAGGTGATGTCAGATGGGGTAAGTTCATTCTCCTTCCTGGCTAGGAGACGTTCTAGTAGTTTTTCATGGGATATCTCCTTTTTCACAGCGAGGATGGATTCAATCTGGTCGAAAGCTGCTTGGTTGCCATGCCTCTTGCGTTTGGCTGCTTTGGCCGCCTTAACACCAGGAGGCCTAACCTCCTCCTCAGGCATCACCTCCTTTGTTTCATTACTTTTCTCCTTCCCAGTGTCTCTAGACTTCGACTTTGACTTCCACTTCTGATCATATCTCAGCTCCCTCCAACAATGTTCCATGGTGAACTTGGCGTTGTGATCATTGACGAAGATGTCATGAGCAGCCTTCATGACATCATTGTCATTGTGGCCACTGCCTGGGTCCTTGCTCGCCGTCTCGTAGCAGCCCACGAACTTGCAAACGTCAGAGTTAATCCTCCCCCACCTCTGCTTGCACTGACTCCACTCTCTAGGCAGGGAGCCAGTGAGCTGAGGGCTCGAGTTGACGTAGTCCTCTATTCTCTCCAAAAGGAACCTCCCTTCTGCTCGTTACTTACGATAGGGTCCTTGCTTGTGTTCAACCACCCGCTGATGAGCACAATGTCTTCCTTTGTTGTCCACTTTCTCTTGGTTAAGGGTTTAGCTACCCCGGGTGACTGACCTGCTGCCTCAGCAAAGTCCAGGTCGATTGAGGAACTGCTTTGCGAAGCTAGAAGGTCAATAAACCCGGGATAGTTTTGTGAGAAGGGATCCATTATCGGTTTTGGTTTAGGTTTGTGTTTTAAGTTAATTGTGTTTTTTAGAAGTGGATTTGGTTGTTTTTAAAGTAGTTTTAGCTTTCATTATCGAACCATAAACTCTACCTACCAAACATTCATTATCGAACCAAACTCTACCTACCAAACATTCATTATCGAACCATAAATCTACAACAGCTCAACAGAGAACAGTTAATACATATCATCGACTAGTTAATTCAATCAACAACTTAAACCAATATACTTCCTAAAAAAACAGAGCAGCCAAGCAACCAAGTACATTAAAAGTTAATTCCAGTGTACTACTACTACTTCTAGGTCTAGTTAACCTACTAAAAAAAAGGCCTACTAATTAACATTTATGTCAAAACGTAACTACTTTAATTTTTTAAAATTTGAAATTACCTTTCCATTTTACTCGTATGAGATCTTCTCCAAGTTACCGACATCCACAGTGAGACTTCTAACCTGTTCCTGTAAACAACAATAACACAGTGTTAGGTTATGTATTAAGTATCTAAATTTAATTTAACAGAGATGAAACAGACATGAAACAGAGATTAAACAGAGATTAAACCGTTACCTCCAACACCTCAATACGTTTACTGAGACTCCACACCCCCTCGATCACTTGCTCAGCCTCCTCCACACGCTTACTCAGCTTTTGTATCTCCTCCTCCACTGCAACCAACCAAGGATGACGGTAATGCAACCCATCATCCTTGATGACAACAGAAACAAAATATAATGAGAATCACATAAAACCATATTACTTAAACATATGAGTTCGGGGTCATTACCTCATAGTTGGCGCACGTGAAGAACCTCTTTCCCGGGACGGTGTCGTACTTTTCCTTCCCTCGAACCTCTTGAATGATTCTCCCACCGCAAGCACACCTCCTTGGAATACCGTATTGTGAATCGGCAACAAACCCAAGCCTCTCGTAGTGCTCCTTCCGCTTCTTCGCATTTCTTCTCTCGTCTCCAGGATCCATCTGCACCAGAAACAACAAATTAAATAAAGATTATCACTCAAGAAGCCTAAATCGAACCACTAACCGAAACCCTTTTTCAAAAATCCAAATCGATAAAATCACATCTATATGAACCAAAAATCAAACCACCATGACGATAAACAGCCCTAAATCGAAAACCCTAATCGATTAAGACCCCTACCAAAGAAACCCCCAAATCGATTTTAGATCCCCGACTCGAAACCCTAAATCAACATAAAACTTCTCAATCTAACCTTTAATCTGCTCGAGAACGCACCTGAGATTGATAAGGAGGCACTGAGTCGTCGTTTTGATGGAGATTTTTAAGCACGATCTGCGTCGCACAAAAAATCGCCTCTAGACGAAACCCTAATTTTTCGAGAAGAAGAAGAAATGAGGAGAAACAAACGAGATCCCTTCTTTCTTCGTGATCCACAGAGCCACTCCCTCTTCGCCACGTGCCATGACCCCGAGTCATACGGGATCACTCTCGCGGCCCGGTTCATCTAATTTTACCCATTTTTCATTTAAAAAAATACCCAAAACCCAATGACCCCCAGTCCATGAACCCCTAGAGAACCTTTAATGCACATGCTCTTAGTTTTGTGTTTGACTATGAGTTTTGAGTCAATTTTGCAAAAAACCCTTAATAATAATTAAGAAATTTATAAAATATTGTAAATTTAAATTTAAAACATAAGTAATTACAGATTTATTTAATAAATTTGAAACAATAAAAATTTGATAACATTTATTTGATTAAAAACTTATATAAGTTAATGTTTACACAATTTATTCAAGAAAGTTACTTTGATCTAGCCGTTATTATGTTCTTACTTGTCCATCAGTGGGATAGTTCGAACCTCCCAAAAAAGTAATTTTGAATTTTACAGAATTTTTTTCTAAAATGACATTGTTTTGATAAATTAACTGATATGTAACATTAATGATTAATATATATGTATATATATATATATACAAACACGATTTTAAGAGTTTGTGTAATATTTTTACACTTTTCTTTAGTTCGGTGTGAAATATGCACTATTATAAAGTTCAAAAAAGAAAATACACGATCAGTAAGTTTATGTAATATTTTTAAACTTTTATTTAGTTTCGTATGAAATACACATTAATACAAAATTAAGATACGATTGAATAAGTTTAGATTGAAATAGATTGAATAAGTTTAGATTGAAATAGGCCTTTTTCCCAGCCCCGCCTGTGGTCTCTGCCAGATTTCTGTTCACTTGTTTCCCAGTGTATTTCAATATTGAACTGCTTTATGATCAAACGCATGTAATATCTCATGTTAACGTTGTATCTTTGGCAGTACTAATTTAAGCCTTTATCGAGAGCAATTTACTTAGATGTACAATGGTATATAAGCAAAAGAACTTGAAGGATAAAAAAACAGGAGGGAATCAATAAATTAAAAACTTTCCCAGAGGGGAATAATGTCTTCTTCACCAATAAACATTTTGTACCCAAGAAAAAAAAAAGTTAATAAAAAACATTAGACCAAATTTTCCCCCTCCCTCTGGAAAAAGAATCACAAAACATTTCAAAGAATCAATGATAAATTTGCTTCTAGTACTGTACTGTATTAAACAAAAACGAACTTTTTAAACATCAAACTTCTTCGGTTGTCGCCAGTGAGCAAAATTTCTTCCCAATGAGCTTAAGAAGGAAGCTTTCTGTGGAGCTCCCTTCTTACCATACAAGTGTTTCCCTCCTAAATCAGTCTTTGCTGGTACCATATCATTCCTTCTCTCAATCTGTTATCACATCACATCGCAAGAATCATTCTCAAACAACACTTTGATCAGAAGAACACTACTTAAAAGACAACTCTTGACTTACCTTGAAAACCTTTCCATTTCTCAAGTGGTATCTAATTCCAGACCAGTTTATGGATTGAGAAAAGTGAGAACGGAATGCTGAGATCGGGTAAAGAAAGTTGTCCACTAGCATTGCTATGAATATCTGCAAACAAATTTTCCTCACAAATCAAAACCAGAAACCTTCTTCTACCTCTCTTATCTTATCATCATTACTTAGGTTTTATATCATCTAATCAATAAAGGACGTTGAAAGCACGTACAAGTCCCCAGTTGTAAGGTGCAAGAGAGAGACGGGGAGCCTCGGGGGATAACAGATTGCATAGCGTCACTTCTCGTCTTGTCAAATTCCACATTGAAAGAAGTTCGATGAAGGTGCAAATCGCCAACAGTATAACAAGAGACATACCTGCATAGAACCTCATCCTTCCAGGTTAGTATGTAGCACAAGAAAAGCAAACAGTCCTACAGTTGTAAGTTAAATATATAATCACTATGCAACACTTCTGAGATCCCCCCTTCCATCGAACACAAGCAATCATCGTGGCACTAGGATGGGTTCTCTTATCTAGAACACAACCCATCTAAACAAGAGGAAAAGTATGCTCACCACCAGAAGCCGTGGTCGTCTCTTCTAGTTGATGATAGCCCTTCATGTAGATTCTCATAGCTGATGTGATGTGGATGACAGCCATAACATATGGTGCAACAAAACCCCATGATAGATAACAGTGGACGGCAAACAAAACCTTGTTCATTATCCAGTTAACATTGGATATGTAAGATTCTAGCACAAAAGTTTGCTTTCTCAAGTAGTTCCAGTACCTATAAAATAGGAGGAAGAATGGTCAAACATCCAAAAATTTCGTACATTTGGAGGATTCAAACAAGTGGAATACGAGTATTTACCGTCCAAAACTTAGATCACTTGCAAGAGGATGAGGGAAAACAGCGACAGGAGGAGATGTAATAAGCCTCTTGTGAGCACCTGGAGTAAAGAAAACAGGTGAGTGGAAACAAGAAGAAACTATCAACTAGACATACAAAAAAAGGGAGGGGAATTCGGAAGCAAATGTTACCTGCTAGAGAGGCAAGTGTCATATCATCTGAGTATCCACCATCACGTAAGCCAGAGACAACACCATATCGATCTTGTCTGAAATCATCAGCATGCATCTACAAATAGTTGCAAATAATCACCAAAATTAGATGTAGCACAGAGGAAAGAAAGAAAAAACATTATCTATCATATGCTATTTACTTACCATCATGCACCCTCCCCACAAAAAGAATGTTCTCCCACCAGTCGCAAAACCCATTGAGCAAGGCTGTAAAGAGAATATGCTAATATTAGCTCAAACATGTGACCACATTCTATACAGAACAGAACTGAAGAACGAGAGATGTCACTGTACCATGTGGTACTCATAGATGCAATAACTTCCAAGAGTTCCAGAGGGCAAGTCTAGAGGATACCCAGTTTGAATAAATATCTGAAAGAGATCAACATTGCTGTTAAATAATTTCAACAGAAGGACAAGGCCTATATCATTAACCATGTCTTTGATACATATAAAAAGAAAGAGCAAGAGGAGTAAAATTTAAAAAACAAAAAGAAAATTAAGCTAATCAGTTCGAGAACTATATAGTTTGGGTACCACCTCTGGATTTTTCTCCATCTCAGCCGTGAGAGCTCCAACTGTGCCAGGATGGAGTCTAACATCATCGTCCAAAAATAGCACATATTTGGTGTCTTTGTGTATTTTCTCAGCTCCAATCTTCAAGAAGCATAAACCAAATATTAGAAAAAGTCAGCAAAAGCCAATAAATGAAGAATATAACCAGAAAACGTATGTTGGGAGGCTTTCATGGTTGTGCTTACAGTTTAGCCAAGAGCAATCACAATTACAATTATAATGAAGAGATGAAAAATACACTAGTGTAGCCAATGAAAGTCAACCACTAAAAAAGATTAAATAAGCTGATCATACATACCAACTGATTATGAATTTTCTGGCTGCAAGTCGTTGCTAAACCAGCAACAACAACCTTAGATTCAACATGATCCTGCGCACATTGACACATTAATAATGAGGAAAGCAGTGAAGCCAGTGCAGCATACTTGAAGACAAAATAAAGCCACATTGACAGTGAACTGATCTTTTATGTGGACAGAACTTTCATTGGCTTCCTGTAAAAAAGAACGTGTAATGTACCTGATACATAGATAAGAGACGGGAAACAGCATGGTATGCAGGGTCTTCAGTACTCTCTACAACAAACAGGAATTCCAATGGTCCACCATAGAGAGAGGTAATCTGGAAAAAAAAAACATACCGATCAAGATTAACAATAAAGTGGGAAAGGAAGACACTTTGTTAGCAAGAAACAGAAGACAAATGAGAGTGGACTAACCTGACTTCTCCAGTTATGCAAATTGTGTTCTCCAAAACCTTTGAGAGGCATGATAACGGAAACCCTGGGAAGTTTAGCCTGCCTAGAATGCTCAAGTTCGTTGATATCTTGATAGAGAAAGGAAAAGCTGTTTCCCGCTTTCATGCTGTTTTTAATTCTCTTAACCTCTCGGTTCCTTGAAACGTAGAAATAGAAACACACACATTTCAGAAAATAAGAAAACAGAGGCAGATTGTAATTTTAAGGCAAAGGAAATACCTGACATATGCAGCCATTAACCAGCCAAGAGCAAGGAGTAAGCATATAACACATCCCTGAGGCATAAAAAAAAGAAAGAAACAGTAAGAACAATAAAAATCATATCTTGATGATAAATTGCCCAACCAGACAAGTCTAGGAGAAGACATTGCCAAAAAGAAAAAAAATTGATAGGAACCATAGACTTCATTTTTATCTTGATTATTGCGAAATTTTTATTCATCTTCTTCACCCATTAACGAGAAGGGAGCAAAGCTTCGATCTGAACAATTGAAAAGAAAAAGGCTGACCTGGATCTGAACGAAGACAGCGAAAGGGGTGCAGAAGGTTCTGCTGAGAGAGAAGAGAATCGCATCCATCGACTCCAATGTTGACATTTAAGATTGATTGTTCCCCCCTGCTCTCTCCGACTGTCCCCTTCCTTCCTTCCTCGCGAAGTCGATGACAAGAAGAAGAAGAAGAAAGCAGAAACAAAATGGGGGGAGGGAAATGAGGAACCCTAGATTTTGAAATTCGTGCTCTCAAATCTATCTTTCTCTTCTCGTCTGTGAGGGAACTAAATTAGAGTCATGAAATTTGGGGGGATGGCCATTTTGACGGAGCAGCGAGAATCCAGAGAGAAAGAAACTAAAAAAACTATTTCAAATTTGGTTTCACCCATTCAATCATTCATCGACACATTCCTCTTCTTCCTTCTTTTTAATTCCATAATTAACATTTACTATTTTATTTTTAATTATTAAATAATTAAAATAATATTATACTTTTTCTCTTTTTGATTTTTATTACTCTCATGACTTCAACTTAATAAAGAAATATATTCTGCCAAATATATTATCTTAATCATTAAGACTTACCACTATCTGCATTCTTTCTGTGAACACTATCTACTTAAATAACAAGATTTTTCTTCCTGTCCTCGACTTGTTAATAATGAAATGTTTTTTCTTGCCAAAATAATATGTAAGGACAGATATTTTACGCGTTTATAAGCATATCATCAATGTGACATTCAATTTTTGTTTATATCTACTAAGCCAAACCGTTTATAATCCGCGTGAAACGCCTTTTTCTATAAACAGAAGCATTTGTATGTTATAGTTTTCATTGTGAACAAGGCCTATTTGGGTTTACCGTCTATTACTCTATTATAAAAAATGAATCCACCACAACGTCGCTTAATCGCTTATTTTGCATAGACGCATCAAAATTACTTTTCTCCTAACCTCCTTAACGTTTACTTTCTCATGAAGGATTATTCTTACATCATGTTTAACCCTAAGAATCTTTTAAGGGTTTTTAATTTTTTTATACTAATTTAAAAAAAAAAAATAAAAGTTAACTAATTGCGTGTCGCCACATGTCAATGAAACCCACAAATAGTACAATGATTTCCTAATAATTGCCTCTTGCAGAAGAAATAAAAGAATTAGGTTTTAGTTTTTTTGTAAAACTTAAACCCTTAAAGATCTCTTAAAAATTTGGGGTTAAAGATGTTCTTAGAGTTTAACTGAAAATATTGTTATTTTAGTACTAAAATGGAATATTGTTATTCTTGTATGAAGTAAATTTGGCGGCAAAGATGTCAGAATGTTAGCCGAATCTCTCAAGAGCGGGACCATCATGTCCTCCTTTTCCAACAGGAATATCACAAGTGGTGACAGCTTAGATACATGTGCCTTTTAAAAAAACTTTGTATTATACGTGACAACCAATTTTTTTTTGTAAATCATATTTTCATTTCATATATTTTATTTGTAATTTGTTACTCATTAGACCAAATCATTGATCTAATATTTCTGTAAGTATATCCTATGAATCTTCTACTTTGATGTGACTATATATATATATGATTTTATTCGCTGCTATGTTTTTTATATCAAAATTGGGAAACCTAGATAGCTAATAATGTGAACCATGATATTAGGAGTATCTTCCGAGTCATACCAAGTTCCTTCTCTCCAATTTAAATCATCTAGTCTCCTTTGTGGAACTTTATCTCAAATATTTGTCTCAAATGTATGCTTTCTCAATTGTAATGCATCAAATTTAGTAAAAACCAAACTAGATTCCTATTAGATGAGTTTTCTAATTAAATGTGATCACTGGGTTGCTAACTTTTTTGTTTTGTTTTTGGTTAGTTTACATAAATGTATAAAATAGACATAATATATTGCGTAACCCAACAAAACTATTTTTATTTTCTAATCAATATTTTGCTATTCTTTCTTTGAACTAATCTGAAAATTTAAAAGGCTAATAATATCAAATTGGGTTATTCTTTGGGGGCATCACACGGTCAAAACAATCACTGAACTAAAACTAATTCAAATTGAGTTGCTTGTGTACAAGAAGTAAAGTGTATCGCTTAAATTTGACTTCAATATGTTTCTTTTTTTGGACTAACTTCAATAGGTTATACAAGTGACAAATAAAATATAACAATGTTTTGAAATTTATGATGTGTAGAGTGTCGTCCAATGGTCTGATTTAAACCTAAAAGCTTTTACATAAGGATTTGACTGACAATTGTGTTTTTATAAAGCTTTACATAAACATCCGACAACAAACTATTTGGCAAAAGGTTCTTGGCCGCTTGATTTCAATTTTGAACCACCTATTTGAAGTTATTGTCATGTACGATTGTAACCAAAAGACGATTTACTTCTGAAAACCTAAGCACCTTAAACTATGCTGTCAATCAAATTCTAGATATACCCAAATTATCATGCTGAAACAGACTGAGCGGGGCCCTTATAAGGATAGATTAGTACCCAACTCATGACCACCTAAGAATGTGCTATCACCCATACTCTAACCATCTAAAACTGTGCTAGCAATCAAACCCTAATTATACTCAAGTTATCAGTATAAAACGGACCGAGCCAAGCTTTATGAGGATATAGTGGTGGTACATCTCATGATAAACGCAATAAAGATTACACATGCACATAAAGCACACACGCGCAAAAAGTTAAAATGTAAGTATTATTAGTACAAAAGGCCATGTGAGCATTAAGACAAATGTTTGAAACATCCCTTTGGTGTTTTGTCTCAATCAATATTTGTTTTTAGAGAAAAAAGTTTGATCTCAGTTCTTTTCAAACGCCAAACTTTTGTGTTGCGTTTCCATATGGAAAAACAACGCCAATAAGAGTTGAAAGTCTCAAACATAAAGCATTTTCATGATCTCATATAGCTGTAAAAGCATACTTCAAACGCTAATGGTAGGAACGTCTTTCGTTGGCGTTTGGTTTTACGTTTAAAATATGCAAACCAATATTATTATTATTCTTGTTATGGGTCAAATTCGTAAGACAGCCACAGAATGAGAGCAAAGAGTGGTATAAAGTAAAGAGAAGATCCCAAGTTTGATGCAAAAATGGAAATGTATAGAAGAACTCACACCATGGAATCAAATACTTGCTTTGTTTCCTATGAATTGATGAAGAAACAAACCCGCTGTAACGCTCACGCTCAGGGTCTTCAGGCTCTCCACTGCTAGAAAAGATCTGATTCCTTCTACCACCAACCCCACGACAACCGTTCTCAGCAGAAGCTTCTAAGAACTGCATCATACTTTTGCAGTATATATATAAGCTCCATTACTTTGAGCGATCCAGTGCTTGCTTTACTCACAACCGCACTTAATGGAGGTAAGTTTTTAGCACGTATTACAATACCTGTGGCTCCAAAAAAAGTAAGCAGACCTTATGATCGTGCTTAAGTTATGTGGACCAGTGACCTTATGATGAGGCTCCAAAACAAGAAAGGTTTTGAGAAAGTCTTAAAACTCCCAAAAAAGTCCGGGTTAGACATCAAGGAAACTTCCAACCATGATCTTATTCATTCACATGGTTGCTGATAACAGACCTCATCAAGCATCTGTTCTCAAAACCTTTCTTGTCCTTCTTTTTCCTATTGTTACTACTCAAATCTAAACCTTCTTGAACATGCATAGCATACAACTCTCGTCTCCAAGTAGAGAGTGCAGCTAATACTGGGCACACTTGCACTAACCATCCTACGCACACTTGCCACGTTTACGTACACCAAATCTCTTGCAGGTTCTATTTTTGATATGCCGCCCTGAACTCTTTTAACATCTGTTTTTATTTAACTAAATTCCATCCAGCAAACTTAAATTGTCTTGCAAGTCAAGGCGCGAAAATACCCAGCAGGGATAGAGTTCACTACAGACATATTGATCATTTGGTTATTCAAAGACTGTTAGAGGAAAGCATGAGTGTTGCAAAAGTATGTATGAATGTTGAATTCAACATCACCAGATTGTCAAAAATTGCTCTCTCATCAGATTTTTTCAATGCCACTGATAACTAGAAAATGCAATTCCTTTAGAATCTGGAAAAATGAATTTGGTCATTTATATGTAGAACTCTTAAATATATAGTTCTACAACAGTGGTTAACCCTGAAAATGACATCCAGGGTTTACTATTATTTCTTCCTGAACAAAAAAATATAATTCCTCAAAGGACTGACCTTCATCTCTTTTATTTGTTTAAACCCTAAAGGCAAAACAAAGAGTCTATAATAAGATAAACACAAAGGCCTTTTACCTTTTTTTTCCCATCATGCTTTGGATGAAAAGTGTTAATTTAACTTGTTTCAGAGTCCTCCAAGTACTGAGAGTGCGAGGCAGCAAGTAGAGCAGCTCCAACGCCAGACCCGTCATTCGAATGAATCACCTCCACGCTCTCTGAGGCTTCATTTCCTAGCAACTCTTTCAATGAGCTCTCCATACACTCACTGAACTGAGTGTAGTGCTCAAACAGTCCACCGTCCATGGCAATCACAGATTTCTGTGTTTCACCATCTTTCGGTGTGTCTCTTCCTATTTTCTTGAGGATTCCGTAGATACCTGCAGCAGATAGACGAGCTCCTCGGGTGGCGATGATGTTACAGAGACTGATCACAACTTTTCTCATCTTCAGAGAAGTCGTAGATACCTGAGAGTTCATTAAAAGTAACTTCGTCGAGACTTCAACACATAGGTTAGTGTGAATCGTTATGCATATCTGAGATTCTAATTTCTAACCTCTAATATGTCCTCTAACTTGCTTCCAACAACCTTCAAATCCGGAGAAGTATCACTGTGCATAGCAGACATGTTTGGTGTCCTGCATACATTAAAATGATTATTAGACTTTTGATTTGATGCGAGTATTCCCAGATGACTGTGTGGAAGGAACTTAATAAACCTTATGATGAATGGTATTCTCAGCTTAGGTGGGACAGAGTCGCCAAAGAAAGCAGCCTCTTCAGCCATTTTCAGAAGAACTCTACGCAAGATTTCTCCCAAATACATACCCGAAATGATTTTCTCAAGAATCTGGGGAAAAGCCAGAAATAATCTT